GCGCAGGACACAGAACTCTCGGATACGTACTTTTAATACGAAAAGGATCCAAAAGGACACAGAAAATAACTCCACGCAGGAAGGAAATAACCCGCTCACAAAATAGACAACCGTGAAAGGGAAAACAATCACACACAAAGTACAGATGAGAGACAGGGGTAATTATAAGGGAAACAATTAACATAATGACAAACAGGTGTAAACAATACAGACAAAACTAAACAAACACCGATAACATCGAACGGCAGTAGCTAGTACTCCGGGGTCGACGAACGCCGAAGCCTGCCCGAGCAAGGAGGAGGAGCAGCCTCGGCAGAATCCGTGACAACATCGTAGGAAAATCAAAAGAAATCAGCCAAGAATTGTAGACCTCCACAAGTCTGGTTCATCCTTGGTAGCAATTTCCAAACGCCTGAAGGTACCACGTTCATCTGTACAAATAATAGTACGCAAGTATAAACACCATGGGACCACGCAGCCGTCATACCGCTCAGGAAGGAGACGCGTTCTGTCTCCTAGAGATGAACGTACTTTGGTGCGAAAAGTGCAAATCAATCCCAGAACAACAGCAAAGGACCTTGTGAAGATGCTGGAGGAAACAAGTTCAAAAGTATCTATATCCACAGTAAAATTAGTCCTATATCGACATAACCTGAAAGGCCGCTCAGCAAGGAAGAAGCCACTGCTCCAAAACCGCCATAAAAAAGCCAGACTACGGTTTGCAACTGCACATGGGGACAAAGATCGTACTTCTTGGAGAAATGTCCTCTGGTCTGATGAAACAAAAATAGAACTGTTTGGCCATAATGACCATCGTTATGTTTGGAGGAAAAAGGGGGTGCTTGCAAGCTGAAGAACACCATCCCAACCGTGAAGCACGGGGGTGGCAGCATCATGCTGTGGGGGTGCTTTGCTGCAGGAGGGACTGGTGCACTTCACAAAATAGATGGCATCATGAGGAAGGAAAATAATGTGGATATATTGAAGCAACATCTCAAGACATCAGTCAGGAAGTTAAAGCTTGGTCGCAAATGGGTCTTCCAAATGGACAATGACCCCAAGCATACTTCCAAAGTTGTGGCAAAATGGCTTAAGGACAACAAAGTCAAGGTATTGGAGTGGCCATCACAAAGCCCTGACCTCAATCCTAGAGAAAATGTGTGGGCAGAACTGAAAAAGCGTGTGCGAGCAAGGAGGCCTACAAACCTGACTCAGTTACACCAGCTCTGTCAGGAGGAATGGGCCAAAATTCACCCAACTTATTGTGGGAAGCTTGTGGAAGGCTACCCGAAACGTTTGACCCAAGTTAAACAATTTAAAGGCAATGCTACCAAATACTAATTGAGTGTATGTAAACTTCTGACCCACTGGGAATGTGATGAAATAAATAAAAGCTGAAATAAATCACTCTCTACTATTATTCTGACATTTCACATTCTTAAAATAAAGTGGTGATCCTAACTGACCTAAGACAGAGATTTTTACTAGGATTAAATGTCAGGAATTGTGAGAAACTGAGTTTAAATGTATTTGGCTAAGGTGTATGTAAACTTCCGACTTCAACTGTACTTCCTCATCTCCTGTTCATTTGATTATGTGACATGTCCGTTTCATTGTCTATTTTAAAGACGCTCCTCTGCTATATTGACTCAGAGCATTACAGTGTGTGTGTGTGTGTGTGTGTGTGTGTGTGTGTGTGTGTGTGTGTGTGTGTGTGTTTGTGTGTGTGTGTGTTGCCCCAGCCGACCGGTCCTCTCCAACCTAACTTAATTTTACACACCAACATCATCAGTCAGTAGATTAGCAGAGATTGTCAGTAGCGATTTCCTCTCAGTTACAGTAATCAACCGTGCCATGTTATTCAGAAACAGTTGCTAGTGTTTATTGAATATTAATTAAGAGCATAAAATATGAGAAATAGATGCATGAAAAAAACAGAAATGATACAAAATACTAGGGAATTTAGGATACATGTGGATAATTATAGTTTATTATGTCCAATGGAAATTAAGTAGGCCTATAGCCAATACGGAGAGAACTTAATGGAAATAGAGCTGCTGCCGCCGTCTTTGTTTCCTTAGTGGTGGCACTTCCGGTAGCCACTTCTTCGCACTTCGGCTTCAGTTGCTTACAGTAGCTAGCAAACTTGACCCGCCGTTTAATGATGAGCTCTTCATGACAAACTAGTAGCACTCTTAGAAAAAAGGGTTCCAAAAGGGTTCTTCGGCTGTCCCCATCGGAGAACCCTTTTTGGTTCCAAGTAGAACCCTTTCTGGTTCCAGGTAGAGGGTTCTACCTGGAACCAAAAAGGGTTCTTCAAAGGGTTCTCCTATGGGGACAGCCGAAGAACCCTTTTCGTTTCTAAATAGCACCTTTTAATCTAAGAGTGTAGCATATAATATGTTCAGTAAAGGTTGAAAGAGTTTTAGAGCTGCAATGTATTGATAATCAACCTTTTACGGTCCAAGTACAGTTGTGGCGCATTACAATCTACACCCACCTCCAAACGATCCATCTCTTCTTCATGAAGAAACCCCCGAAACAATCACGTTTCCTCCTTCCACTTTGTGGAGAAGAAAACTACAGTAGGCAGATCAAACCGGATGTCTCTATGGTAGTGAGAAGTAAGTCAAGTGAGAGGTAAGTCAAGTCAAGGTAGGTCAATCAGAGATGGAAGAGGAAGCAAGACACCCCACTCACAGTTTCTTTCTGGTTCAATGAAAGTCAATGAACTAAGTAGACCAGACCCAGCTGCTACTATTGGTGTCTATGGGAGACACACCCACTTAAGTAAACCGGAACGTACATTTTTTTTGACAATGGTAAATGGCTTGAGTGAACTATCTTCATTTATCCACCATCTTCGGGTCAATGGTCATAACAAAGATAATTTAAATAAAAATGCCTAGAAACTGTTTCTCCAATAGAAATCCCCAGAGCCATATATTAAGAATTATAAACCGGGTAGTTTGGTTCCTAGATGCTGATTGGCTGAACGCCGTGGTATATGAGAAAACACACCACGGGTATGACGCAAAACTACTATTTTACTGTTCTAATTATGTTGGTAACCAGTTTATAATAGCAATAAGGATCCTCAGGGGTTTGTGGTTTATGGCCAATATACCACGGCTAAGGGCTATATCCAGACACTTTGCGTTGCGTCGCTTATAAGAACAGCCCTTAGCCGTGGTAAATTGGCCATATACCACACCCCCTCGGGTCTTATTACTTAATAATAATAATAATAATAATAATAATAATAATAATATGCCAAAGCGACTTACAGTCATGTGTGCATACATTTTTACGTATGGGTGGTCCCGGGGATCGAACCCACTACCCTGGCGTTACAAGCGCCATGCTCTACCAATTGAGCTACAGAGGACCACACTTAAACATATGACTCTGTAAATCCAGGATTACGCTTGTAGGTGTTGTCATGGTGACATTAGCGAGCATAGCTCATGCCCAGAAACACGTCTAACGGTCGTGTTGCGTTGAAGGCTGTAGTAATGACAGTTTCAGCTACTTAAGACATTGTCTCAAATCTAGGTTTTGCCTTTAGATTTCGAGAAAATTAACAACTAAGGACACATTTTCCTGGTCTGGTCTGTCGAGTCTGCTTCGAGAAGCCTGTTGGGCCTCTGGGTTTGAAAACTCTGTTGTCATCATTTAAATAAGGTGACATGATTTGATATAGCCTACCTAAGGTTGTATATATTATAAAGTAGGCTATGTCAGTAGCACTGAATTACAGCCTAATTAATCTTATTGTAGCGATCCTCATTACAATTCCCACCAAGTGGTATAACCCTATTGGCGCAATACGTGGGGTGTTTGCCTTTCACACCAGGGACCCTGGTTAGCTTCCCTGCCCCGCCGTTCGCTACATTGGTGTCAGAAGTTGGATGACGACCAAGAGGCCATCGCAACGCACGGCCCAGACTTTTAAAGGGGGCTGAGTAGTCGAAGCAAGAGGACATGCATTCCGGTTCAGAGGGGGCAGTGTAGCGAGCCTTGCTATATGAGCCACGTTACAATTCCCACCAAGTGGGTAAGCCTATTGTTTCAATGCGCAGACTGTTTGCCTTTCACACGCAACCCTGGTTCGCTTCCCTGCTCCGCTGTTCACTACACTTGGCTATCTACAACACATTCACCCACACACCAAAGACAATTTAAAGAGCCACTGAACATGCCGATTGGCACTTGTGTTTTTCTGTTGCTCATAAGAAAAACGAGATTTCAGTCTTGGAGGTGTGTTTCCTGACTGATTCTGCGTTTGGTTAATTATGTTTTCCCCCCATGAGACACTGTAGATGAGGAAGTCTGTCTCACTGTCTATGCTATTGGACAGAGAGCAATCACTGCAGCTGTTCACCCCCATGTTAGTGGGCAATTGGACATCATCAAATCAAAACCCAACCTTCATTTACCAGTTGAGACACACGGATGTTCCAAACTCCATTTTAGACGAGACTGACTTTATGACCCAAATTATCCTAGTTACACTCTGTAGTACATTTTGACACTAGAATAACTGTTTCTGGGATTCGTAGCTTTTTAAATGCAGTCGCTCCTTAAATAAATGTTTAAAAAACTCTGTGTACACACCATGCACAGTTGTTACCCGAAAAATTATTTTATTGATCAATTTGTAATATTAGTCATGTTTTATCCATTACTGCCATCTAGTGTGTGCAGAATGAGAAATTAGTGAAAGTGACATAGGAAGCTTTTACCTCTCGTTGTGCACATAATTTGTGAGAGCTTTAATTTGTTTTATTCTCTATAGAGCTGTCAAAATGCTCATAGGCTGTTCTGAGAACGTACCCGCGAGTGAACACATTCTCCGGAGGTGAAAGTGGGTCAAGCAGATCTGTATGTATTCTGGATGGTAAATTCACCAGAGAGCACAGTTTAAAAACGGTGAATTCACTCTTGTCGAATCTGCGTTCGAGACGTTCCTGAACAGTGCCCAGGTTGAAAGGTTATCGTTGCGAAAACATGGCGGCTTCCAGCAGGTCTGTGGTGGTACTGAAAGCAGTCAAGAACATTGTTGTGCAGTTTTGTCCATTTGAATCCAATGTTCGTTCCACACGGTAAGAAAGTAATTTGTCTACTTAAACCATGTGAATATACATTTTTCTAGTGAGCAGAATTTGCTTTTATTCATTCGATGAAAGGAAAGCGACCCTTCGTGATGTTGTGAAACAAATTCGGGTCCCTCTGTAGGACAAATAATGCATCTCATTTCACACAGAGATGCTCACAGACTATCACGGTATTATTTAATGTTATCTGTGCAAAATGTATTCATATTGTTGATATTGACAGATTTATCAAGGTTATTATTTTCTAGCGAGCGATCTTAAATCTGTAGCCTAATAAACTTTGAGATTGGCAGATTGAGATTGTCATTCAACTTCTCGCTTCATTGGCAACAACGGTATAGGCTAATGTTAGAATGCTATTGCTGTAAACTCAATATTTGGCAAGCATCATCAAGCAATGTGTTATATGACTTTATTCCAGATTTACAAATATCTATAAACGATTAATTAACTGATTGTTTAGGCCTATAAACTACTGCATACCCTGGAATAAATTAAGGTTTGCATGTAATTTACAGATTTTTAAAAATCCTTTGCATGGGTGAAGTTAATCTATATTTCTTATTCCGGTGAGGGACCGAGATGCATCCCCTGTTAATGTGATGTTCCATGTTGGTGTCCTGCAGGGAGTTCCTGGTCATGGTTGGATCTGAGAAGGCCAGATCTACCAATATGAACTGTGAGGTGATGGCAGAAGTGAAACACGACCAGTCTGAACCACTGGTAGACATTACATTTAGTAAGTAGAATAAACTTGACTTTTACCTCGACTTTAGATGATATAGGCCTAAGGTAGGTATATTATGCCAGTTGTCACCAATCCTGGTACTGGAGAGATATAGAGTGAAGGCTTTTGTTCCAGACCAGTATTTACAAAAACATAATTGGCCTACATAATACGAATCTAGCTAATTGGATTCTTTGGGGTTTTCACCATTTGGTACCAAGCAGCTGAGTTCCCAATTTGGTTTTGCGTACCTTTTATCCTGCCTCAGCTAAACGAGTGCTTTACCTGGTGCATTCCCCCACTCTTCCCTACAGTGGATGGAGAAAGGCTAATGATGAAGGGAGCGAGACTGACCAGCAAGGAGATGCTGACAGCACTGCAGTCCAAATCTGTAGCCAAGGACCCCCAGGCCAAAATTACAGCCAAGAAGTAGTCCAACCCTCCATAATATGTATGTCTATGTATATTTGTGAATGTTTATAATAAAATACTTTATTGAACTGTTCTGTGTTGGTTTTCACTCAATTATAGAAATTGTACAAGATTTCCCTCTACTGAATGGTTTTACATTTGTCATTTTAGCAAAGTTGTATTGTGTGCATTTTCACTTTTTGAAGTTATTTCGGTTAGATGGCATAAGACTTATTTGAAGTGAAACAATGTTCATTTTCTTCTCGGCCAAGTTTGTTTAAAATAATCTTGTCCACTCTATGTAGGCTATTAGATTGCATTATCTACCAATGTCATAGTTTTGGAGCATGTGATTTGTCAACTATTTGCAGAGTAATAGACACTCTTTTCAGCATTTGAAAGGACATTGTGAAACGCATAGCCTCTGACATAGTAAGCTAAACGTAATTTGGCACAGTAGTACATGTGGCACTCAAACCTTTCACCCATTCTAACATTATTCCAGCCATCGGAAATTGAGGAACTACATACAGTGACGTTCGTGGCTGTGATTGGGTAGTATTAGAATGCGCGAGCCAGATAGATCCCTTTAAAACCGTGGATCGTTCTCAACAGGCAGCAGAGTCAAGTTTGGACAAATAGAACGAACTGTTGGGAATATTGCAGATAGGCTGACTGGAAAGATGGTTGACAAGTTTGTGGGGACCTGGAAAATGATTTCCAGCGAGAACTTTGATGACTACATGAAAGCTTTGGGTATGATATTTGTCTAATCTTAAATAAATTATTGATTAAATATGAATGTATATAATTATGATACAACATAAGAATTAGTCATTTGTATTTATATAAAAGTTATTATGCATTTCTAATGCTTTGGGTTGGGCAACAACACACTGCCAATACATCCCTCTTGACAGTTTGATCTCCGTTGTGCAGGTGTTGGTTTCGCGACCCGACAGGTGGGAAACCGCACCAAGCCCAGTCTGATCATCAACATGGACGACCAAGGAATGATCTGTTTGAAATCCCAGAGCACTTTCAAAACCGTTGAGATTAAATTCAATCTCAACGAGTCTTTCGAGGAAACAACCGCCGACGACAGAAAAACAATGGTTGGTTGGGATCAAAATATGTGTGTGAAAGTCCGTTGACTTGGGTTAACGGGTCATTGGAAATAACTGTCATTTTTTCCTTTCATCTTCAGACCGTTTTTACTCTTGAAAATTGCAAACTTGTGCAAAAACAGAACTGGGACGGCAAAGAGACAACAATAGAGAGAGAGGTGACTGGTGATGGAAAGTTGATAGCGGTAAGGAATAGTTTTTTAATTTCTTATTTTAAAAAACAACGTTATTATAGCTTACACGTTTCTCAAATGGTCCAGTAGACTTTTTTTGGCATGTTTGTAGTGCTTGTTTATTTGTAAATAACTTCTGGACTTGACAGACTAATGTAAAAAAAAAATGTATGATATTATAAAGTCATTTTTCTAAACTTTTTTCACCACAAAGTTGAAATGTTGCCAATGAAACTTGTTGGGAAAGTTAAGTCACACTTGACCATATATGCTCAACCATTTTACATCTAACTTTGAACAAGTGACTGAACAAGTGTTTTATCACTCTTTAACATAAAACATGCTTGAGTGTGTATTCCTGGCTCTTCGCCTGCACCTGAAACATCTCAACTCTGACCCAACACACCCTATTTTCCTCTCCTATTCTCCTCTCTTCTCCTTTCCCCTCCTCTTCTCTTCCTCCCCTCTTCCACTCTTCCTTCTCATCCTTACAGAAATGCATGATGGGGGATGTGATTGCGGTGAGGACATACATGAAGGAGGTCTAATGGGACTCAGGACCATTTTGTTTCGGATGACGACAGGCTCAGTTCAATGAGCAGCAAAGCTAAAGTTACAGCACCTATTGCTCATATTCTTCATTGTATTGCCAAAGCAAATTTATGCATTGTACTACTCCAATATGATACATTTGGTTATAAACATTGTTTTGATTTTAATAAAAACCTTAAAATTGCCCTCTGTTCTCATTTGGAATTATTACATGATGTCTTGATTGGATTCTCCAGATGTGTTGAGACAGTAGGGACAATATTGACTGCTAAAGACTTACATGTATGTTTTACTTTTTAACTCTAAACATATATATTTTTTTTAGACATAAGACAAGAATACATTTATTTTCATAGACTTTGACACAAAATGTGGGAGCTTTCATCCATTTGTGTAGACACGTTTCTCCTTAAATATCAGATGTCTTTCTTGATTGTAATGAGCTTTAACAATGAACAAACCCATCAGTGTTTTGCTGCAACAAACAATTAAGTACATTTGATTATGACAAACATGGATATTTGTCAGCTCTCTTGGCTGTATCATAACCATGTGTTTAACCCATTACAGTCTAAGCCCTGTCTAAGCCGGGGGAGGGGGTTCAACTAAGCTATGTGGAATTGTTTTAAGAAGGTCATATCAAGGATAATTTTGCTATTTAGATTTTGAATTTTAAGACCCCTTGAAATATCCCCACAAAATAGAAAAAACATATTTGCTGAACATTTTTATTTGGCCTTACTGCTATTAGCCCATACAAAGGCATTGAAGAACAGATTAACAGATTCACTACATGGAACAACATATAGTCCCCCCAAAAAAATCTAAAGGAAGTTTGTTCTGAAGTGTCTGTCCTATATCTGAGAGATATAAGAAAGATCAGGAAAGATTTGTTTTAGTTTTTTGGACATATATTTAACCCCTTATTTTTGGCACTAAACAGTCTCCATATTCTGTATACTTACATTCATTTTTTCAACTGGTACCGGGGGACCTTCAGATGAGTCTTGTGAGGCCTGTGGGCATCCTAGAGCAAAACAACTGACATGTACGTGTTTGTGAGTCTCACCTTTCCACAGAGTGGAAGCCCAAACTGTATAGCCCAAACTGTTCGGACGCTATAGACAGAAGTTGGCAGATCGGCTGTACCGACTTCAGATGAGTCCCAAGATGCTTGTGGGGGTCGCAAAACGGAGAACACAATTTTGTTCGTGAGAGTCTCATCTTTCAATAGAGGGGTTACAATAGTTTCTAGGCCAAACCGTTCGGACGCTACAGAGGAGACCGATTTTCGGGATATCTCATGGTCTGACAAACACGGTGGATTGAGACACATCCAAATGCAAAAAAATACGATATCTCTCATTTAAATTGACAGATTTGTATGGTGATTATTTTATTATGCTAATTTAGCTTTAGCTGACAGCCCAACTGGCTATTTTAAACACTGTACAAACCAAATTGATATGGAATGTAGATTTTGGAGGATTACTGTACAGTACATCAAAATGGACAGCCTATGTTAAGATGTTTTGCTCAAAGCAAAATGTGAGTAGTTTGAGTCATAACAGGACTGTCATGAGTTGAAGACCTTTGATATTTTGAATAGCAACAAGAGCCATTGAAGACATTTTCCATCTAAACCCCAAGTCAAAGTTGATCTGCTTAGTTTGTATTTGGCTCACATCCAATAACACAATTCTCTTGAGTTTGGACAGAACAAGACAAATGAAAGCTACGCACTTCATAATGTTCAGATGGAAGGCTGGCTAACCCTGGGAGGGGATGGGGGGGTCAAGTAGCTAAACCTTGGAACCCTACATGATGAATGCTTGTTGTTGGCAGGGGACCACCAGACCTACTCTACTGGGATGTTAATGCTTTTAGATTATCAGAGGGGACCAGTGATAGAGGTCACAGAGGATATGTATTCCTTTCCTTTTTTTGGTCTGGAACATTTCTCATGTTGTAGGCCACATAGTTGCAGTGGTGCGTAACTTAGGGAACCCAGAGCATTGTGGGTCTCCCTGGAGTCACACCCTTTGGCAGGGACTCGAGCTGAGATTGTTCCAGCGAGCAACAGTTAGCCGACAGCCACTTTCCCATGGCAGGAAAGAGAGCAGATATACTGATTGGGATTAATGGCGAAAACAGCTGAAACAGGTGGAACTGTGGGCCAACTCTCCACCCGACATCACATTTAGGCAGGACAATGCAATCGGGACCCTGCCTACGCTATATAAAGTTTGCACAGCGGGTGGGCTGCCAAGTCTATCACAGTTGCAAATGCTGGTAGAATAAAAACACGACTAGAGACGTGCAGCAAAGGTATAGACTGTTTGGTACAGTGTAATAGAGACAAGTTGAAGATACAGATTGCTGTACACACTAATGGAAGTTTCCTGCCCACATACAGCGTGATATTCATATGGATGACAATAGGTCACATGAGTACCGTTGGACCGATGACTCAAGGTTCATATGATCTCAACAGTAAGTTGTTAGTGTGTGTGTGTACGTGTTATGTGTGTTTGTTTATTCGTGTGTGTGTGTATGCGTGCGGGTGTGTGTGTGTGTGCAAGGTTACAAGTTCCTTCTGAGGCAAGAGAGAGAGAGAGCCATCTAAAATAATACCGCCCAAGCCTTAATCCATACAACTCTCAGCTGCTTCTGATTGTGTCCTAAATGACACCCTATATAGTGCATTACTTTATGGGCCATGGTGAAAAGAAGTGGACTATATAGGGAATAGGGTGCCTTTTGAGACACAGCCTCTGTGTGAAAGGGATACAGCAGCAGTTTTGTGGTAAAGGGAAAGGATACATTACTATAACAGCTCGTAGTTCAGTGATCCGCTGTAGCTGTGGCTGCAGGATACAATGGCCAGAGGTAATTACAGCACAGTGAGGAATCTCCTCAGGAAGAGAGTGATAAAGAGAGCCCAACATGAGATCTGTCAGAGGAGAGAGAGTCACAGTAATCATTGGAAATGTTTAGCAAAACAAAAGTAGTGTGAAGAGAATGGATTGTATTTGGGATACATATTAGGCTTCTGTCATTGTTTACCCAAGAAGAGAAAGTCAGGCCAGTTTCCCAGACACAGTTTAAGCCTAGTCGTGGGCTAAAATGCACTTTCAATGGAGATTCTGCATTGAGCAATTTAGTCCAGGTTTACATAATCTGTGTCTGGGAAACCAACAGCAGAGTCCTGCTCAAAACTGATACAGCAGTGTCTGGGACTGATAAAGTCTACACTACAGGGACTGATACAATGTCTGTGTATCACATTAGGTCTATTCACACACCCAGAGGGATGTTGTTGAGACTGTGTGTGTGTGTGTGTGTGTGTGTGTGTGTGTGTGTGTGTGTGCGTGCGTGTGTGCGTGCATGCATGTGTGCGTGTGTGTGAAATGACTAGCTAGTTAGTGGTGCATGCTAGTAGAGTTTCAATCAGTGACGTCACGCGCTCGGAGACCTTGCAGTAGTTGTTTCCAAGTGTTCAGAGAGTACCTGGTTTGAGCCCAGGTTGGGGCAAGGAGAGGGATGGAAGCAAGACTGTTACACGTGCGTGTGTGTGTGACTTTGAAACACAAGGATATCTTGTTGACCAGACAGCCTGGACATTACAGGAATGAAATCACATCCTTTGTGTCACATCTGGAAAGCTCCACTCGCAATATACCGTCCGCTCGCACACTTCCGCTGTCCCCTTCCTCACACACACACAAACACCACCACCACGGCAATAGTAGGCTAATACACACACGGAGCACAGTTTACTATAGTTCAGCAGATTACTTTGTTTTCCTCAGCCTCACCCATTGTGTTCTGAGAATAGGGTATGTGATATGGCAAATATAGTTTTTACCTGAAAACAATAATCTAATATGTATTTAATGTTCCTACCAACCCTGGCAACTCTTACTGTGACCATATCAAAACACATTTTCTCCCCTTAGGTAAAATTGGTGAGCCTACCCTACATTAGATTTCATAACATAATCTTTACAAAAACACCTCTTATATCCATCCCCCTCTTCTATCCTGCCTGTCTTGTTATTGCTCTACTCAGGTTGTAACAGGAGCTCTAAAGCAAACCTGGGTTCAGAAAGTGTTTGAAATCTTTCAATTGCTTTGAGTGTTTCTTGAGCGAGCTTAGAGTGTCAGGTGAGCGGTGTTTGCACTTTAAGGACTATTCCATTGGTTCCATTGCACCAGGAAAGCTCAATCAAGCCCAGCTAAAGCATTTGAAAGATTTCAAATACTATTTGAATCTTGGTCTGCTCTGGAGTGAAGTGGACCTTGGGTTCAGCCTGGTCCTGCGGCTTGCTGGGTAGAGAGGGGGTTGCTGGGTAGGAAGGTTAGATATGTCAGCCCTGGCCTCAGCGGAACTGCAGGGAAGCTGGTTGCCATGCAGGGAAGCTGGATTTGAACTACTTCCAAATCCAGTTTAACTGAGGATTGGATGAAGTCTTTCTGATTTCAACAGCAACAGCTCTGGGCTCGGGCATTATATTATGCAAGGAAGGAAAGGACAGCCTGGCCTGGTTTGGGTTCACTGCAGAAGCAACCCATCACAGGTTTAACATTTTTTTGTTTGTCAAGTGTTTTCTGTGTGTTGTATTTCTAGGAAATTACAGATAAAATAAAATACAGGGATTAGGGATTTAAGGTTGATCAACTGATGGACAAAAATTATAATCTGTCATCAGTCACACCTCAATACACAAAATGTATTCTGAAAAACCTTTCGGTTGCCATTTCGAGCTAGGGGATTAAACCCTCGTTTGAGGTTCTTGTAGTCCCCAAGGGAAGGATGAGAGAAGTAGTAGAAAAAAAGAACAAAAAAAGGGGGTGAAATGGGGTAACAGTCTTAAAATGCTGCTTTACTGTGCATGTGCTGCCTGCCGTAGAATCGTGTTCGGCTAATCTAATGAGCTACATTATAGTCATATTTGCTGACAAGCCTGCGAGTGTTGAGCGCTGAATAAAGAACTCATGTCCTGATATAGAAACTTATGTCTAACAACTTTCAAGTCAATCACCAGTGTGAGTTGGAATTTTTCTGCTCATGACAGACAGACCAACAAACCAGCTTTTACTGGCATTCTCACTCCTCATGGTGCCTCAAGGCATGTGATCTATAATCATTTGTAGGGTAATGCAGGGAAAGCTGTGAAGGAGG